GGAACGGGAAGGAGGGCTACTCCACAGAGACCCACGATTTAGTTGTGCACCGTGTATGGGGCCTGGGGGGGCTGCCACCAGCCCGACTTGCCTCCTTCCACCTGGACACCTGCCCGCTTGCCTCATCTTGGCCCTCCTGTGTCCCTTGCTGCCCCCGAAGGGATGAAGGAAGGAGGCTGCCCGGTGTAGGTGGCCTGGATCCAGATACAGCCTCAGCCTCCCGCTGCGCGGCCTGGCCAGCTGGCCCCAGGGCCCTTTCCCGGCATGCTGGGGCTCCCGGCCCGGGTGCCCAGCCTGGCAGGGAGTGCCTGGGACTCCAGGGCGGCATCCCAGGAAGGAGAGCTGGAGACGGAGCACGTGGGCATCCCTGGCCTCTTACCCTTACCGAAAGGACGGAGGGAGAGGAGGCAGTGAGCCGGGGCAGGGCTCACCGGCAGGTCACCCCTACTATAGCAAGGCAGTGGCACCTCCTGGACACACAGGAGCGGAAGGAGCACAAGACACAGGGGCCGGCGTGCCACCCTCTCGGGGAAGCCCTGGCCAGGGCCGTGGCGAGGTGGGCGCGACACCCAGACCCCCGGGAGGCTGACATGGCAGACAGGGAGACAAGGCACTGACGGCAGGCAGGGCTTCAATGAGGACGGGGACACGGTGACGACCGCGTGCTGAGGGGCTGGACTTGGGCGGAGCAGGCGGGCCAGGTGGAGATGGGGGGCGCTCCCCCAGGGGACCAGGGGGAGTCTGCCGCCACCCAGAGCTCTTCCTCCGAGGGTCTCCCCATCGAAACTCGCTGCTCTGACGTGGACAGGGTCACTCGCTGCCCCCGTTTGCGAGAGAGAAGAAGCGAAAGCAGAAGCCCCGAGCCCTGGCAGGGACGGTCTCTTCCAGCAGTGGGTGCTGGACGGCAGGGCCGAGCGCGGGCGGGAGCGCGGCCATCTCCGGGCTCGGCGTGGACAGGAGCGGGTCGCAGAAGACGGAGCGTGGCGGTGCCGTGTGGCTGTGGGAGCTCACACGCGTGTGGGGGAGATACGCCCCACGTCCTGGGGGGACGGAGGGAGGGAAGGCCGTAGCTGGTGCGTTCTTTAGAAGTGGGGCGTCTCTAGTCTGTTCATTCCAGGAGGGGGCGCAGGCGTTCGGCGAAGTGCACTGGGCCGTCTGGGCTCATCTGAGGTCCTGGGATCTGTCAGTGGCATGCCTCCTTCCGCTGGACACCTGGCCCCCCGCCCCCCAGGCATGAGTGGTCTGCCAGCTCTGTGTGCTCTTGCCTGGGCTTGTCCCCGCCCCCGTCTCAGCTGCTCACCTGCCCCCCTGGCACCGGCTGTTTGCAGGTGGGTGAGGGGAGCTGCCTGCGGCCCCTGTCCAGGTGGTTAAGCCAGGGCCCTGGGGCCGCAGGTCCGGGGGGAGGTCCCTGATCTCGGGGGCAGATTCTCTTTGCTGTAAGCTTTGTACGGAGGCGGCCGAGGAACCTGTGGCTTTCTGTTGTCAGGGATGGTCAGAGCAGGAAATGAGCCTCGTCTCAGAGGTTTTCAGACTCTGGTGGGGGCCGGGAAGGAGGAGGGAGGGCGAGAATGGCTTAATGTGGTCAGGGTTCCTGTATGTTTCCGTCTGAGGGTGGAGTCCCTCCGTTTTAGAGACATTGGGGACCCTCTGCCCGGTGTCTGGAACGAGTGGGGGCCCCGCCCTGGAGCTGGCCAGCACCTACCAGCCAGGGGTGCCCGCCAGCCAGGGGCAGCGTTCCGAAGCCAGGGGGGCTGTGTCTTTGTCACTCCGGCTGCTGTTTGTGGTGCCGGGAGGTGAGAGAGGTCGCCAAGCTGCATCCACACCCACCTGGGTGAAAGGCAGGACACGCGGGCAAGGGGGTGGCCCCTGCCCAGGAGGCCACCTGTGGTGGGAGGCAGGGCCGCTTGCAGTACTTGCTTTTCATTTTTTGTTGCTTTCACACCGGGGGCATAAAAACCCTGTTGGGTGGGCCAAGGATGCTGCCTGTTCAGGTGTTTCCAGGTTGTGGCCAGTGTGGACCAGGCCAGGTGAGCTGGGACCGGCCTCTCGCCCTCCCCCGCCTCCCTCCCCACCTGAAACCCGAGAGGCAGCAAGGCTCAGGGTTCGGCTTTGAGGCATCCCTGGCAGCGCAGGGCGGCCTGTTCCCCGCGTCCCGGGCTGCTCTCTGCACGTTGCTCACAGCAGTCCGTGCTCGCCCGGATCCGCCCCTGTCGTCAGTGCCTACGCCAGGGCCAAGGCGGCTTACCTCACCTCACCTCACCTCACCTCTCACCTCGCCTCGCCTCTCCAAGCTCTGTGTCCCCAGACGCCTGTGGCTTTCCTGGTTGTCCTTCCTGGCTCGGGATCAGTGGTGCAGCTGTTTCTCAGCGCGGAGCCGAGAGCCGCGAAGTGTGCTTCCGGAAGCACAGGGAGTGCGTCTGGGGAGCTCTGCACACGTGACAGGTCTGGCTCGGATGGCAGTGGACAAATGTCCCACTCCATTAAATGCAGTGTAAGAAATTGGGAGATTGGCCGGGCAAGGTGGCTCACGCCTGTAATCCTAGCACTCGGGGAGGCCGAGGCGGGCGGATTGTTTGAGCTCAGCTCGAGACCAGCCTGAGCAAGAGCGAGACCCCGTCTCTACTAAAAAAAATTACAGAAAAAAATTAGCTGGACAACTAAAAATATATAGAAAAAAACTATCTGGGCAATAGTGGCGCATGCCTGTCGTCCCAGCTACTCGGAGGCTGAGGCTGGAGGATCGCCTGAGCCCAGGAGATTGAGGTTGCTGTGAGCTAGGCTGACGCCACGGCACTCACTCTAGCCTGGGCAACACAGCGAGACTCTCTCTCAAAAAACGGAAAGAAAGAGATCGGGAGATCCCAGACACACGCGGAAGAGGGACGGCCCGGCGGACTTGGCGTGGCCATTGCCACACCTGGCTGATTCAGCCACCCCAACACCAGGCGACAGAGAAGCAGATCCCAAAGGGATAAGGGACAAAAATTGCATTTATTAACATTTTAGTATGTGTCCCTAAAAGATGCGTCTTTTAAAAAATAACCACAATATCATATAATACTTGAAAAGTGTTCAGCAGAAATTGCCTCATGTCATGAGGTGTGACTGTGGTGGGCAGGGCGGGAAGGAAGGGGGCGGACGTAGCCGGCCCCCTCCGAGCGTGCATTGGTTAATAGACAGCACCTGAGTTTTGTGAGACAGCTTGTTTTGGGCGACGGCTTGCACGGGGTGCAACTCACGCCCCGCACGGCTCGCCCGTCTGAAGTGCGCACTGCAGTGGTTCTTAGCCCGTCACAACTGTCCCCACCATGCCTTTTGGAACATTCCCAAAACCCTAAGAGGAAACTCCCGGCTGCTTTGCTGTCACCCCCCAATCTTCCCATCTGCCCCAGCCCCGGCAGCCGCCAGTCCGCCGTTCATCTCTGTGGACGCGTCAGTTCAGGGCATTTCGAGTAAATGGCGTCATGTGGCCTTTGGGGTCTGGCTCCTGTCACTCGGCGGCTCGTCTTCAAGGTGCATCCACCTGGTGGCAGGTGTTTTTATGGCTGAATCACATTCTGCTGTGTGGACAGACCACGTTTTGTGTAGCCATTCGTCAGTGGAAGGGCGTAGTGCCACCTTTTGGCTATTGTGAGTAATACTGCTGTGGACAGCTGGGTGCAAGTTTTTGTGTGGATACATGTTTCCAGTTCTCCTGGGTAGATACCCGGGAGTGGAATTGCTGGGTCGTGTGCCAACTCTGTGTTTAACCGTCTGAGAAACTGCCAGACATTTGCCAACGTCCCTGCACCATTTTACATTCCCATAAGCCTTGTGTCAGAATTCTGATTTCCCCACATCCTCACCAACACATGCTGTCTTGCATGTATTTTATTTATTTTTTAATTTTTTTTTTTTTTGTTTTGAGACAGAGTCTCACTCTGTTGCCCGGGCTAGAGTGAGTGCCGTGGAGTCAGCCTAGCTCACAGCAACCTCAAACTCCTGGGCTCCAGCGATCCTCCTGCCTCAGCCTCCCGAGTAGCTGGGACTACAGGCATGGGCCACCATGCCCGGCTAATTTTTTCTATATATTTTTAGTTGTCCAATTAATTTCTTTCTATATTTAATAGAGATGGGGTCTCGCTCTTGCTCAGGCTGGTTTCGAACTCCTGACCTTGAGCGATCCTCCCACCTCGGCCTCCCAGAGAGCTAGGATTACAGGCGTGAGCCACTGCGCCGGCCTATTACGGTTCTTGATGGTTTTTTTGAGTACAGCGTGGGAAGGGATGGAGGCTGCACGCCATGGGATGGGCAGGAGGGACCTGCTCCCGGGAGGCAGGGACGCCCCAGGCTTGGTGCTCCTGGGTGTGCTGAGCAGGTGCGGCAGAGTCTGCAAAGGGAGACAACCGGAGCTGACAGGACTGGGATGGAGCAGAGACAGGAATATGTCGCAGGTTCGCCAAAGCAGCTTGGTCTGCTGGGCAGGGAAGCTGGCCTGGGCGGGCTGTGCTGGGGGTGGGTGGAATGCTACGGGAAACTGATCTCATCCACAGCCTCTGAGGAGGAAGCTCCGTGTCCCCTGGACGCCCGCTCTAGAGGGTTCCGCCAGGTGCCAAGGCGTGTGGTGCAGGTCTGGCGTCACCATCTGAAGACCAGGGTCAGGGCGTTGTGGACTCACCGGCCGGGGCTCAGGGTTTCTTCGGTGCCGGCCTCCAGGGGGCTGGCGGCAGGAAGGGGACTTGTCTCTGCTGTGCAGGTCGCCAACCTTGCACCCACGGGTGTGGCCTTGGGTGCTGGCTGGGAGGTTTGGTTTGGGGGCACGGCCAGGGGCTGGGGGCTCCCAAGCAGAGGCAGCAGCTGTCTGTGCCGCGCTGGGCAGGTGGGCAGGCAGGCGCTGGGCAGGCGGGCGCGGTGACGGCGTCAGCTCTGTTTATGAAAACTCGAAACTTAAATCCAGAGTGAACGATGCTGCTTGATGAGGGGTCGTCCTCATATCTAGTAACACGCCCTTCACCTTCCAGGTCATCGCCGAAGATGGCAGAGGCTCACCAAGCCGTGGCCTTTCAGTTCACAGTCACTCCGGAAGGGATCGACCTGCAGCTGAGCCATGAAGCCCTGAAGCAGATCTACCTCTCCGGACTGCACTCCTGGAAGAAGAAGTTCATCAGATTCAAGGTTTCCTGACATTTGTTTCAGTCTATACAGTATTGACTTTAAGATCTAAGAATGGGTCTCTTGGTGCTATTATGAGGTATAGGTGTGTTAGGCTGCTAATCGGCACATAATTTATGAGGCACCTGCACGTAACATTTTGGCCACAGAACTCTTGGAGCAGTCCCACAAGGCAGTGGAGTGAATGGCACGCTGGGAAACGGGCGGGCAATTGAGGCTCAGGGGCCCTATTTTTGGTAGAGACGGGGTCTCGCTCTTGCTCAAGCTGGCTGTAACCGGGGACGATTTCCAGCTCGTGGGAGCGAGAGTTGCCCACGGCTGCAGACACCTCCCCCCACTACCTGATGTCTCATGGCCCGTGGCAGGGCCCGCATGATGCGGTCACGGCGTGGTCTGCTCACGGCTCTGCATGTCTGTGTTTAGAACGGCATCATCACCGGCGTGTACCCGGCCAGTCCCTCCAGTTGGCTCATCGTGGTGGTGGGCGTGATGTCCACCATGTACGCCAAGATCGACCCCTCCCTAGGAATCATTGCGAAAATCAACCGGACCCTCGACACGACGTAAGTCATCCTGTGAGTGCTTCAGTTGTCTGGAAAGTTGACAGTTTTGTGGTTGTCTTTTGTCTTTTGTTTTTTTTTTTTTTTGTTCTTGAGACAGGGCCTCTACCTGTCGCCCTGCAATGCGTGGTCACAGATCACCGCAGCCTCAAGCCCTGGGCTCAAGCCATCCTCCTGGCTTGGCCTCCAGAGTTTTATTGCTGCTTGTATGTCTCCTTAAATGTGAGGACTGTTACTGTTCTGCACCCGATCTGAGGCTTTTGCTGCTGTTTTTTTTTTTTTTTTTGAGACAGAGTCTCGCTTTGTTGCCCAGGCTCGAGTGAGTGCCGTGGCGTCAGCCTGGCTCACAGCAACCTCAAACTCCTGGCTCAAGCAATCCTCCTGCCTCAGCCTCCCAAGTAGCTGGGACTACGGGCATTCGCCACCATGCCCGGCTAATTTTTTGTATATATATTAGTTGGCCAATTAATTTCTTTCTATTTATAGTAGAGACAGGGGTCTTGCTCTAGCTCAGGCTGGTTTTGAACTCCTGACCTTGAGCAATCCGCCCGCCTCGGCCTCCCGGAGAGCTAGGATTACAGGCGTGAGCCACTGCGCCCGGCTGCTGCTGTTTTCGTGCCACCTTTCTTCCCATTTCCTGGACTGGTGTTAGGGCCCCCCCTGGGAGTTTGTGGTACCTTGTGCTTCCTCTGAAGACGAAGGCCAGATAGTGGCCCTGGGGCACCCCCCTGGAGGGTGTCAGGGCCTGAGGTGGTGGCCAGTAGTGGCAGTGCACTTGGCTTGGTCATCGGGTTCCTCAAAAGGAATTTCTGCTCCGAGGGCTGATTGCCATGGTGGGCATTCCTTTGCACGTGGAGTCTGTCGTCACAGGCTTCTGCAACCCCTGGACTTCCTGCTATAGGGTGCAGGGGGGAACCTCAGCCCCCAGCTCCCTGTCAGAGTGGCTTACACCCCCAAGGGAACCCCCATCACTCCCTCCTCTTGGAGTTCCAGATGTTTCTAGGAGCGTGAAAGTGGGCTTTCTTTCTACCAAGAGATGGCCCAGGGGCAGGGGTGCCTTTTGTGACATTCAGCACACGGCTGCTTGTCCAGGGATGGTCCTCATTCCCACCTAGGATCTACGGGTGCGGCCCCGCACTGCAGTGGCCCCGCGCTGCAGTGGCCCCCCACTGGTCTCCCCTGTGCAGGAAGCGCTCAGATGTGCCTGCCCCGGTCACAGAAAGAGGAGTGGGGAAGCTGGGGCTCCCCGCCGAGGCCCCCCGGCCCCCACCCCGAACCTAAATGAGGTGAAGGCGGGCGATGGAACGCGGGCAACCACGGTCACCTCGTGTGGCCGCGACCCTTGCACTTGAACACGTTTTTACTTCTAGTGTGAAAGTGCCACAGTGTCGCGGAGGTGTCCCTGCTGTTCCGTGCCAGACATTCGATTCGATTTCTGATTTCTGTGTTGTTTGTTTACACTGGTGAGCACCGTGGGCCTGGAGGGGTAGTGACCACCAAGTCCTGCTCCTGTCCCTGGGCTCCGTCTCTCGGGCCAGGAGTTGCCGGTGGAAGGTACGATGCGAGGTCAGGGCTGCGCTAAACAGGGACGTTCTTGAATTCACCGTCGTGCCTCTCTGCTGTTTGCATGGAAACGCTGTCCCCTCGGAAAGGAGCAAGAAAATGCACTAAAAACGTGGCATGCATCAGCGGTCACTCACAGCTAACAGCTGGATTTCCGATGACTGGAAATCAAGGATTGAGCAGGTGCAATTTAGTGGTCTGAATATTCTTGGGCCGGCTTGACCCCTGCACTTGCTTTTGCGAGCGGCCTGCAGGGGAGACCCCCAGCCCCTGGTTCCTTATTCAGTGACCCCTGGACACTCGGGAGTCACCGAGAGGCCAGCCGGCTTGCTCACGGGCCGAGCTGGCATGAGAACACTAGCTCATGCCTTTACAAGCGTCTTCGAGAGACAGCATAAAAGTCCCCGTCACTTCAGTGGAAGCGTGGGAGGCCTGGATGCCTGCCAGGTTCCTCCTCCGCCTGGGGGAGGGGAAGCCACGGCGGGGACTCCTGTCACTCCTGTCACTCAGCAAGCAGCTGGCAGACCTGGGTGCTCCCGCCGGGCCTGTCTCAGGTCCGCGGCCGGCGGGAGACAGCTGCCCTGCGTGGCGTGTGCGTGGCTCTCCCCGAGCACTGGCTCTGCTGCGGGTCAGCGAAGGCTCTTAGTGGACCGTCCGGGGTAGGGCGTCTCCCGAGCCTGGCTTATATTTAGAAGTTGGCTTTTAAAGCCCTTCGTAATCTGGGTCTTTATAGGATTTGTCTCTTTGTCCCTCTTAAACCTATTTTTGTAAACTGGGCCATCCCCAGTCTGAGTTTAGAAAGACCAGGTTCCAGGTTAAGGGCCGGGGCTCTTGTTCTGTACGGGGCCTCTGTGTCCCCAGGCCGCTGCTTCCAAAGTGAGGTCGCACGGCGCGTGCGGGGTTTGCTTCCGCACCTGTCCACTCCCGCCACCTGGTGAGGAGCACGTTCTCCCCAAGCGGGCTTTGCACTCTATGTGTGTGTATATGTCTATGTATATGTCTGTGTACACACACACACACACACACATATTTGAGACAGTCTTGCCCTGTTGCCCGGGCTGGAGTGCAGTGGCATCATCACAGCTCACTGCAGCCTCAAACTCCTGGGCTCAAATGATCCTCCCTTCTCGGCCTCCTGAGTAGCTGGGGTTACAGGCGTGAGCAACCGCACCCAGCCCTGTCTCATTTTTGAAATCCCATCTTTGCCATAAAATAGACCACTTTCCTTCCCAGGTGAAAACAGTTTCTGCATTTAAAGCTCACCGTTGATGTGATCATTTAGTATGAGTTGTTTCTTTATTTGTGATACTGTGACCACTGGCACAACCCCAGAGTACGTCTGATGGGAAAAGAATGGTAAAGAGGCGAAGACGGCAGCGCAGGACCTCTGCGCGCACCGGCCTCTGCGTCCCCTCTGCCCCTTGTCCTGGGACGCCGGAGGAAGTCGCGTGTTCTCGCAGGTGGCGCCGTTAGCGGGGGCTGCCTGCCGCGCTGGCGCCTGTGCAACCCGCCCCGGTCTGTCTCCGCAGTGGCTACATGTCCAGCCAGACGAAGAACGTCGTCAGCGGCGTCCTGTTCAGCACGGGCCTCTGGGTGGCTCTCATCGCCACCATGCGCTACTCCCTGAAGGTGCTGCTCTCCTACCACGGCTGGATGTTCGCCGAGCACGGCAGGATGAGCCGCGCCACCAGGATCTGGATGGTAAGCGCCCCCACCCCCACGCCTCGGCGTGCGGCCCGCCTGGGTGCCTGTGCGGGAAGGGGCCTCCTCCCCGTGCTTGTGACCTGGGTCTCGACCTCTCCCGGCCCCGGAGGCTTGGGTCACCGTGACATGGAAGCGTGAGCCAGAGAGTGTTTGCTTGGGTGACGTTCTTAGACAGTTCTGCAGCGTTCTTATGTTAAGGTCTCCTAGGTTTGTAGTTCAGGTCACTCATCAGATAAAGGCCATCCAGCCAGTTCTCTGGAGCTTTTCCGACTACTTCACAGTCGGGCACTGAGTGGTTACCTTAGCTGGCCTGTCTGGCCAGACGCGAGTGTTCCCCCAAATCACTGGGGCTGGTAGCCCCCGCATCCTTTATTTAAGGTAAAATGGCTCGGCCGGGCGCGGTGGCTCACGCCTGTAATCCCAGCACTCCGGGAGGCCGAGGCGGGAGGATTGCTTGAGGTCAGGAGTTCGAAAGCAGCCTGAGCAAGAACAAGACCCCGTCTGGACTATAAATAGAAAGAAATTAATTGGCCAACTAATATATATAGAAAAAATTAGCCGGGCATGGTGGTGCATGCCTGTAGTCCCAGCTACTTGGGAGGCTGAGGCAGGAGGATCGCTTGAGCCCAGGAGTTTGAGGTTGCTGTGAGCTAGGCTGACGCCACGGCACTCACTCTAGCCTGGACAACAAAGCGAGACTCTGTCTCAATCAATCAATCAATCAATAAATAGAAAGATTTCTGATTTCTGGAGAAGCAGAATTCAGCGCCTAGGAGAGAGTCGGGGATGGTTTCCCACGCTTCCCAGGGCAGGTTAAGTGGCGCCCCTCGGGTGGCAGTCACGGCTGCGGTCCAGCCGAGTCCCTCTTCAGCACCAAGGGCTCGCTGCCTCCCCACACCTTCGCCCTGGGAATTCCTTTGTTTTGGTCTCATGCGGTGACCAGTTGTCACGCAGGTCGTGTGGCCTAAAGCAGGGGTCCACAGGTGTGCTTGCCAGGAGGGGAGATGATGGCAGAAGGGGCGGTGTTGCTTCCGCTGGGGTTGGCTCAGGGCCAGGCCCTCCGCCCAGACAGACCCTGCTCGCTGCTCCTGGAGCCTTGAGCCCCCACGTGCAGAAGCGTGGTTCAGGCTGTGGCATCACGGGCCCAGGGAGGGCCCTGGCCGGGGAGTGACACCGGGGCGGCGGCATCTCAAAGCCTCTTTGAAACTTGGCTTTTATTCAGTCTGGTTTTTATTGGGGGCTTGGTGCTTATTTGCTAGAGCCTGCAAGCGTGGGGGCAGAAAGTGGACCAGAGGAATGGTAAGTCGCCATGGAAAATCCGTCAACAGTTGCCAGTTGTGCATTTTGAGAATTGTTTTAGGCGCTTTTTTAACATGGTCTCATCTTTGAAAATGTTATTCTTTTCTTTCAGGGTATGGTCAAGGTCTTTTCAGGCCGGAAACCCATGCTGTACAGCTTCCAGACCTCGCTGCCTCGACTGCCAGTCCCAGCCGTGAAAGACACCGTGAGCCGGGTGGGTGCGGCTTCCGTCTCACGCTGCAATGCCGGGCAACCGTCTTGTCGTTAAGGCTTCTGTCTTATTTATGACTGTGAATTAGTTTACTAAGATTTGGTTATGTTGTAGGGTTGTTACAGGAAGTCGTCTTTTTTTTTCCTAAAATATATCACTATATCTTAGATTTTTTTTTTTTTACCCCTAAGACAGGGTCTTGTTCTGTTGCCCTGGGCTAGAGTGCCATTGGATCTTCATAGCTCACAGTAGCCTCAAACTCCTGGGCTCAAGTGATCCTCCTGCTTCAGCCTCCCTAGTAGCTGGGACTACAGGTGTGCACCCCCACACCTGGCTAATTTTTCTATTTTTTGTAGAGATGGGGTGTGGCTATGTTATGCAGGCTAGTCTTGAACTTCTAGCCTCAAGAGATCCTTGGCCGGGCGCGGTGGCTCACGCCTGTAATCCTAGCACTCTGGGAGGCCGAGGCGGGCGGATTGCTCGAGGTCAGGAGTTCGAAGCCAACCTGAACAAGACTGAGACCCCGTCTCTACTATAAATAGAAAGAAATTAATTGGCCAACTAATATATATAGAAAAAATTAGCCGGGCATGGTGGTGCATGCCTGTAGTCCCAGCTACTTGGGAGGCTGAGGCAGGAGGATCGCTTGAGCCCAGGAGTTGGAGGTTGCTGTGAGCTAGGCTGACGCCACGGCACTCACTCTAGCCAGGGCAACAAAAGCGAGACTCTGTCTCAAAAAAAATAAAATAAAATAAAATAAATAATAAAATAAAACAAAAAAGAGATCCTCTCTCCCTTGGCCTCCCAAAGTGCTAGGATTATGAGTGTTAGCTACCACACCCAGCCCCCAAAAGAGACACTCTTGAAATTTCATTGTTTTTTGTTTTTGTTTTTTGAGACAGAGTCTCACTCTGTTGCCTGGCTAGAGTGCTGTGGCGTCAGCCTAGCTCACAGCAACCTCAAACTCCTGGGCTCAGGAGATCCTCCTGCCTCAGCCTCCAAAGTAGCTGGGACCACAGGCATGTACCACCATGCCCGGCTAATTTTTTCTATATATTTTTATTTGTCCAGCTAATTTCCTTCTATTTTTAGTAGAGACCGGGTCTCGCTCCTGCTCAGGTTGGTCTCGAACTCTTGAGCTCAAAGGATCTTCCCGCCTTGGCCTCCCAGAGTATTAGGATTACAGGGGTGAGCCACCGTGCCCAGCATCTTGAGATTTCATCGTTAACTTTTCAACTTTAGAATTTATTTTGGTGGATTTGTGGTGATGCAGGATTCGGGGTGTTTGTAAAGCCAATGAGTTTAGTTGTTTCGTTATCATTAACCTGCAGCACCGTTTTGCATTGGCGTTACCTTGTCTGATCACTGGGGAGACCGGCTTGGGGAAGGTTTTGAAATCTTTCCAGTGTTACGAGCTTTCCTCAGGCACAGATGGGGGACCCATGGGCTTTGGGCGCTGTGTTCTGACTTGGTTGGTGTTTTTCTCCGCGACCCCAGTATCTGGAGTCCGTGAGGCCTCTCATGAAGGAAGACGACTTCAAACGGATGACGGTGCTGGCGCAGGATTTTGCTGTCAGCCTTGGACCAAAATTACAGTGGTATCTGAAGCTGAAGTCCTGGTGGGCTACAAATTATGTGAGTCTGCCTGCACGCTGTTCTTCCTGATGGAATTTTTCTGTATGTAAAGCTGATTTGGGGGGTGCAGGGAACACAGAGCTGGAAAGACAGCTTAGATGGCCAGAGTCACACCTGAGGACCGAGGAGAAGTTACGGCGGTGGTTTTACCGCGTGCAGAGGGGCGATCTTGGGACTGACGTGCAGTTGCAGTGACAGTTTTCCCCTGAGTGCAGGTGGATACTCTGGTGGGAGAATTTGCACCCCGCACTGGGCACAATGCCATTTTTTGCCCGCGGGAGTCCTCTTAGTCCTCCCGGGGACCCTGTTGTGTGCCGACTCCCCCACGGCAGTGACGTGCTGTCCCCGTGACCTGCTCCTGTCCTCCTCTTTGGTCCTTTGGATGCCAAGGACCTCCTTTCTGAGCCCGATGGCCAGGCCAGTGCTGATGGCCTTCCTGGGGTCAAGTTCGGCTCCATGGGCTCTCGTCAGCATCAGCTCCAGCAAAGACTCGCAGCGTGTGGTGGGAGCCAGCCGAGCTTCCCGGGTTGGCAGGGCACCAGAGCCACCTGGCAGGTGAAGCAAGGGAGAAAGTCTATCTAGGTTTGGGGAACAACGAATATGGAAGAGAAGGGAACAGTGACCCACACAGAACCGACAGAAGGTGCTAGAAGTGGCACTGTGGCTGGGTGGGCAGTGCCTGGAGGAGGCTCTCCGGGGAGCCTCAGGGATGGGTTGCACAGGTGCACTGGGTTTGTGAACGTGAACTTGCCGTGCCCCGAGACCTGCATGTGCACAGTTCTGTATGTATGCGTGCTTCAACACAAAGTTTTAAAGACAGCGGCCCCAGGCCCAGAAGGTTGTGCGTGGGCAGCAGTCCACGTGGGGCGGAGAGGAGCCCGCTGACGGCTGGGTGCTGTCGGGACGTGGGTGCCCGGGAACCGGGACAGCACACGCTGACCTCGAGGCAGTTTCCTGACACGAACCACAGAGCCGGATCGGGACGGGGCTTCTTAGGGAGACCAGGGAAGTAGGCAGAGGGAAGCAGAGTGTGGAGCAGTTTTGAGTAGTAGTGAGTAGTATCGGTTATTACAGTGTTAGCCGTCAAATATTTATCTCTAGCTTTTCACGTGATCTTTGTTTTTCTTTTCACCACCCATGAAATGAAGGTGTCTACCTTCTGGTGGTCTTGACCCACCTGTCGAGTTCTGTCTAGTTAGGAGGCGTTCCATTTTCTGGAAAGGCCCCATTAGACCCTGAGACGTGTGCCCCAGGGAGCAGGAAACGCGCTTCCCCAGGCTCTGGGTGGCCGCCGTGCTCGGGGCTTTGCTCCTGCTGAGCTTGCCGGGTTGTCTCGTGTTTGCCCCGCCAGGTGAGCGACTGGTGGGAGGAGTACGTCTACCTCCGAGGACGCGGGCCGCTGATGGTGAACAGCAACTACTACGCCATGGTGAGTCCTCCAGCCCGCCCCACGTCTGATGGGTGCAGGGGGCGGCGTGTCTGTCCTGCAGGAGTGGCATCTGCACCAGCCCTCTGGCTGCCTGGGGAAGCTCGGGGGGCTCAACTTGTTCGCTTCCGGGCTAGGGAACCCTGTGAACGCCCTTCTGTCTTTGTGCTCAAGGGCGCCCCAAGGGCACTGAGCTGCTGCGGAGAAGTTTGGATTGCAAAAGTATGTTCATGGCACACAGGAATTCCTAGCCGTCCGTGTACCTGCACTGCTGTTTTCCTGACTCGAGTTGGCACCGGAACCTGTCACGGTAGCCTAGAGGGTTCGCGTCTGCGACACCCCCCAGAGCTCAGAGACGGTTCGCCCCGACATGCGGCGCTGCAGCCTCCTGTGTGCTGAGCCGCCAGAGGGTCGTGCATTGAGGGTAGCTCCGTGTGTCTTGGTCTTTCTTTGTCTTTCAAAACAGGGTTGTTAGAAGACCCCTCGATCTGGGTTCTCGGCCACTGTTTAGTAGCCGGCAAATAGCATTCTCCTTCTTTCTGCGTCTTTCTGGTCTTCACTTGTATTTTTCCTCTCTTCCTTATTTCTCTCTTTTTTTTTTTTTTGAGACAGAGTCTCACTTTGTTGCCCAGGCTAGAGTGAGTGCCGTGGCGTCAGCCTAGCTCACAGCAACCTCAATCTCCTGGGCTCAAGTGATCCTCCTGCCTCAGCCTCCGGAGTAGCTGTGACTACAGGCATGTGCCACCATGCCTGGCTAATTTTTTCTATATATATTAGTTGGCCAATTAATTTCTTTCTATTTATAGTAGAGACAGGGTCTTGCTCTTGCTCAGGCTGATTTTGAACTCCTGACCTTGAGGAATCTGCCTGCCTCGGCCTCCCAGAGTGCTAGGATTACAGGCGTGAGCCACCGCGCCCGGCCTCTTCCTTATTTCTCTTTACCATTTGCTTTTTCATTCTGCTTTTCTTTAATTTTTCTTTTTTCAAATTCAGCATATTACGGGGGGACAGATGTTTAGGTTACATGTATTGCCTTTTCCCCACCCGAGTCAGAGCCTCAAGTGTGTCCATCCCCCAGACGGTGTGCACCGCACCCATTAGGTGTGAATATACCCATCCCCTGCCCCTTCCCATCTGCCCGACAACCGATGAATGTTATTACTATATGTGCGCGTAAGTGTTGATCAGTTAATACCAATTTGATGGTGAGCACATGTGGTGCTTGTTTTTCCATTCTTGTGATATGTTCACTTAGTAGAATGGGTTCCAGTTCTATCCAAGATAATACAAGAGGTGCTAGATCACCATTGTTTTTTGTAGCTGAGTAGTACTCCATGGTATTCATACACCACGTTTTATTAATCCACTGATGTATTGATGGGCACTTGGGTTGTTTCCACATCTTTGACTTGTGAATTGTGTTGTTATAAACATTCTAGTGCAGATGTCTTTTTTATAAAGTGTCTTTTTTTCCTTTGGGTAGATGCCCAGTAATGAGATTGCTGGATCAAATGGTAGTTCTACTTGTATCTCTTTGAGGTATCTCCATACTACTTTCTGCAGAGGTTATACTAGTTTGCAGTCCCAGCTCTTTATGTTTTTTTTTTTTTTTTTGAGTCAGAGTCTCACCCTGTTGCCCGGGCTAGAGTGCCATGGCATCAACCTAGCTCACAGCAACCTCAAACTCCTGGGCTCAAGCCATCCTCCTGCCTCAGCCTCCCAAGTAGCAGGGACTACAGGCATGCGCCACCATGCCCGGCTAATTTTTCCTATATATTTTTAATTTTAATTTTATTTTAGCGTATTATAGGGGTACAAATGTTAAGGTTATGTATATTGCCCATGCCTCCTCTCTCCCCTAATTTTTTCTATATATTTTTAGTTGGCCAATTAATTTCTTTATTATTTTAGTAGAGACAGGGTCTTGCTCAGGCTGGTTGTGAACTCCTAACCTTGATTGATCCACCTGCCTCGACCTCCCAGAGTGCTAGGATTACAGGCATGAGCCACCGCGCCCGGCCAGCTCTTAATGTTTTTAATCTTATCTGAAACAGTGTCCGACTGAGAGAAGGATTGTCCGTGTAGCACAGACAGCCTTTACTTTCCCTCACTGCTTCGGAGTAAGCCGGCCACTGGTGCCTGTCCCCTGCTGGGCACTCGTGTGTCCGCTTCCTGCAAACAGGGGCACTTTCCTTTATAATCACGGACACACTTTGAACATAGACTCTTTAAAAAATGTGGTTTAGACCTGTGTTCCTTGGCCTTTTTTTCTTCAAGTTGTAGAAAATGGCAACACTCAGAACTGTGTCTCAGAATTCAGAGAAGTGCCGGCACAGTGCTACGTACGTGATTGTTTTAGCCTTTGTTTACTTCTCATTCAGAAATCTTCTTCATTCTCTAACTGCTGCTGACTTTTATTTCTGCTTTCCTTTCCGTGTCTTGTATGAGGATGTTTGGGGCAAGATCTTTAACAGCCCCAGAATACTTGGGGACTTGCATTCTTATAAAGCACGAACAAAGTAAAACTGGCAAGAGTGGGCGCGTTAAGCGGCAGTGTATTTCGTAGCACAGCAGACGTAAGTGAACACGCCTCGAATCGGTGCGCAGTGTGGGGATGCTCTCGGATGTGTTTAAATGAGCTCACCTCTTCCTGGGAGCATTCCCTGCACTGTCACTCTTTTCCTTTTCCAGGATCTGCTGTACGTTCTGCCGACGCGGATTCAGGCGGCCAGGGCGGGCAACGCCATCCACGCCATCCTGCTCTACAGGCGCCAGCTGGACCGGGAGGAGCTCAAACCAGTACGCGTCAGATTGCTTTTTTTTTTTAAGACAGAGTCTTACTCTTGCCCAGGCTAGAGTGAGTGCCGTGGCATCAGCCTAGCTCACAGCAGCCTCTAACTCCTGGGCTCAAGCAATCCTCCTGCCTCAGCCTCCCGAGTAGCTGAGACTACAGGCATGCGCCACCATGCCCGGCTAATTTTTTGTATATATATTAGTTGGCCAATTAATTTCTTTCTATTTATAGTAGAGACGGGGTCTTGCTCTTGCTCAGGCTGGTTTTGAACTCCTGACCTTGAGGAATCCGCCCGCTTCGGCCTCCCAGAGTGCTAGGATTACAGGCGTGAGCCACCGCACCTGGCCCAGATTGCTTTTTAAGCAAATTCTGAAACAGCTTCGTTGAGGTGTAATTGATCCAGAAGAGCGCAGTTTGCTAACCTCTGACGAATCTCTAGCAATCCACCTGTGAAACCATCATCACCACTGTCGGGCAAGAATGCATCCGCCACCCCGAAAGTTCCCTCTGCCCCATGTGACCTCTCTCTCTCACTCCCCTCCCCCCATCTGCTCTGTCACCCCAGGTTAGTTTGCAATTTCCAAAACTTTAAGTAGAATAATACATGATGCACTTTTTTTTTTTTGGGGTCTAGTTTCTTCCATCCAACATGATTATTATGAGATTAATTCTCTTGTGTATCCTAAATAGATAATATATATGTTGTACTTTAGTTCTCTAATTTACCCTTTGAAAAGAAACCCTTGTTTTTGAAGGAAATTAATACTGCTGGTGAGCTTCTCATGAGACAGAAGATATTTCTTCCTTAACTATCCCTTTGGTTTAAGTGCTAGTTATAAATAATCGGTTTGCACGTGTCATTTGGGATTTAGCGGTGCAGGAATTTGTAGGCTGGGTGGGTGGTTCAGTAAGTCCCCCTATGAACCATCCCGGGAACAACTGGAAAAGATTTAAGTCAAACCAGGCAACAATTGCAGAGAAATCTAGAATTTAAATGTGTGGTCTTAAATTGCTCCTTTCATTTCCCCTGTGGAATTTGAGTTTGTTTGAAATAATACATTTTGTTACAGATCCGTCTTTTGGGATCCACAATTCCACTCTGCTCTGCTCAGTGGGAACGCATGTTCAACACTTCTCGGATCCCAGGAGAGGAGACAGGTGAGTGCGGCTTCCTCAGGGCTCCCTTTGGAAATGAGCACCTTCCGTCTTCTGCTCGGAGTTAGGGATGTCAGGGAAGTGTCAAAGCACTGTCAGAGCACTCCTTCTGTTGACTTCACTTTGCCTTTATTAGGCCTGGACAGTTGACTTATTTCCAGATTTTAATTTCTTTTTCGCTGAAGGCTATATCGTAGTGTATTTTTTCCAGCTAGGTCTGCTTAAATACTCTTATTATTATTATTACTGTTGTTATTTTAAAAGACGGTCTCTTGATCTATGGTCCAAGCTAGAATGCAATGGCACAATCATAGCTCACTGCAGCCTCCAACTCCGAGAGCTCCAATGATCCTCCCACCTCAGCCTCCTGGGTATCTGGGACCACAGGCATGTACCACCATGCCCTGCTAATTTTTGCTATGTATATTTTTAGTTGTCCAGCTAATTTCTTTCTATTTTTAGCAGAGATGGGGTTTAGCTCTAGCTCAAGCTGGTCTCGAACTCCTGAGCTCAAACAATCCAGCTGCCTCAGCCTCGCGGAGTGCTAGGATAATAGGCGTGAGCCACTGCGCCCGGTCTCTCAGAACATTTTCTGAGTTGCCCTGTTGTCATTAGTAAAATGACTACGCTATTTGAATGCCTACTGTGTGTGAGTGTTATGGATATTGTCTCTTAATGCTCCTACAACCGTGGGAGGGGCGTGAGTATTATCTCCGTCTTATAGACGAGGAAACCGAGGCTTGGGAGGGTTGAGTAATTTGCTCAAGAACACATATCCCACGAGTGGCGGAGGTGAGCTTAGAAGTGAGGCCTGTCTGATGCCCAGACTCTCAACTCTATTCTGCACTTACTTGTTTGACAGCTCTTTGAGACAGGCTCATTAAACTCAACGAGGAACACAAAGTAAGGCGTGGGTGGAGTGCCGTTTAATAGGTCAGGGTTGCTGGGCAGCGTGGCTCATACCTGTCATCCCAGCACTTTGGGAGGCCGAAATGGGAGGATCTCGTGAGGCCAGGAGTTTGAGATCATCCTGTGCAACATAGCGAGATCCCATCTCTACAAAAATAATAATAATAATAATAGAAAAAATTAGGCATGGTGGCTCATGTCTGTAGTCCCAGCTACTTTGGAGCCTGAGGCAGGAGGATCATTTGAGCCGAGGGGTTTGAGGCTGCAGTGAGCTGTGACGACGCCACTGCACTCCAGCCTGGGACACAGAGTGAGACCCCGAATCTAAAAAAATTAAGTAAATAAATACATAAAAAGTGAGATGCAAGCAGCTCAGGGTTGCCCTGACCCGTGACTCTGGATCTTTTGTCTCCCACGCCCGCGCCGGCCCAGACACCATCCAGCACCTCAAGGACAGCAAGCACATCGTCGTGTACCACCAGGGACGCTACTTCAAGGTCTGGCTCTACCACGACGGGAGGCTGCTGAAGCCCCGGGAGATCGAGCAGCAGGTTCAGAGGATTCTGGACGACCGGTCGGAGCCTCAGCCTGGGGAGGCGAAGCTGGCGGCCCTCACCGCGGGGGACAGGTGAGCAGCCCCCGCCCCGTCCCCTCTCTAGAGGTGGTGGTGGCACCTATGGTGCCGTGCTCTTTCCTACCTGGGGGCCGGCCCTGCCTGGCCTGCGGCGACCCTGCAGGGGCCCTGGCGCGTTCTGGGACAGGCCCCGCTCCCGGTCCAGGGGGTCAAAGAGCAGGTAGGTTGCGGTGGGGTCCCTGGGCCATGTGCGTGTGGCTGGCAGCTGTGTGTGCGGAGAGACAGCAGGGCCCACGACAGAGAAGTGAGGGGTGAGGCCTTTTCACGGGGTGTGGGCGCATTGATGGACTTAGGACACAGAGCAAATTTAAGCCAAGGCCCCTGCGTTGGCATTGAATTTCCTTGCCTCGCTGAAAGAGAACCAGCCAAGGCTCGCTTTCTCAGGACTGGCACGGAGGTCGCAGGGCTCCTCGCCCTTGGCTCTGTGCACGCTGGGGTGTGGAGCCGGGGTAATCGGGGCTGGTTGGTTTTTGTCCTGCGTGGTGTGGGATGGGGAGCAGCCCCCTGGCCTCTACCCGCTGGGTGCCGGCAACAGCCTAGTTGTGACCACCAAAAGCGCCTTCAGACACCGCCCGGTGCCCCTGGCTGAGCGCCGCCGCGTCCCAGGGTGTGGCTGCCGCGCTTGCGCTGGGAGCAGGGCGGGAGGGCAGTGACGGGCGCCCTCTGCGAAGGCCGGGAAGGGCTCGCACCGGGTGGAGCAACCACCCGCGGGCTGGCCGTGTCTTGCAGAGGGTGGGGGCGTCCAGGAGCCCCAAGGCAGCGGAGCAGGAGGAGCCCCGGAGTGGGCCAGGCAGCTGGGCCACGTGCCAGGCTGGGAGGGCCCTGACTCTGTGACCGGGGACCGATTCAGGCTGAGAGCCACACGAGTAGGTGGACGACGAGAGAGATTGCTCTGGTGGGACGTGGAGGAGGGAACCCCAGGAGGCAGCCGGCTTTCGGTGGCCAAGCAGCGAGGCCCTGAAAGGGGTGCGTGAGCGGGACTGAGGACGGCTGTCGGAGGGAGCCGGCGTTGGGCAGCATGCGCCGTGGGGTGGTGAGGCTGGAAGGAGCTGCCTCGGGGGAGAGTGTCTCAGGCGAGGGTGGGCTCCCTGCCGGGTGCCCCTGCCTGTCTGGACTCACCCAGCAGGGGAGCCGGGGACCCGGGGAGCCGGGGAGCCGGGAGCCAGCCGGGGACCAGGCTCACCCCCCTCTGTGAGTGCCCATGGCCCCAGCCCTTCCCTGGTTGGGGACCGTGCCAGCATCTTACCCTGTGAGCCCCTCACTCGAGGGGCTGAGTACGCAACAGCCTTCATCGCTGTCACCGGCTGGCTGGGGCACGCATTGGGCTCTTTGGGACCAGGGGTTGTCACAGCCAAGCACTGGGCAGGAGAGGGCAGGAAGGGAAGAAGCCCAGACGACCTGGGTCTGGAAGGGTGGGCGGGAGCCCAGGGGAGGGAGTGAGAGGGACCCAGAGGGTTAGAGGAAGCCCCAGCCAGCGTGTCTTTCAAGAAGCCAGTGGGCGTCATGTCAGCTCTGCTTGTCCCAAACAGAGTGGGCACCGGGACCTCATCACAGGTCATTCGTGGCATGGACTTGGGGGCTGACAGCCTGGGTTTATTTAAATCCTTTTCTCAAAACAGCTGTGACCTAATCTCTGTGTTCCTCAGTTTCCTCATCTGAAAGATGGGCACGTAGTGCTGAGATCAGTGAGGTGGCGTGAGGGAAAGGCTCATACAGCCTCACTGTGATTTAGGGTGGTTCCCGGGATGGTGTGTAGGTGAGTACATCACTGGTAGCCCGCCGCTCCTGGTACCTTCCCTCACACACCTGGTCTGCGTTCTGCTTGCCTGTTCATTCAACATTTACTGAACAAAAATCACACACCGGCCAGGTATGGTGGCTCCTGCCTGTAATCCCAGCACTTTGGGAGGCCCAGGTGGGAGGATCACAGGACTTCGGGAATTCAAGACCGGCCCGGTCTTGAGACCCCGTCTCTACAGAAAATTATAAAATGAGTCAGGTGCGGTGGTGCACACCTGTAGTCATAGCTCATAGCTGAGGTGGAACCATCGCTTGAACCCAGGAGTCTGCAGTGAGCTCTGTGAGCTTTGACTGGGCCACTGCACTCCAGCCTGAGCGACAGAATGAGACCCTGTCTCATAAGTAAATAAATAAGAATTAAAGAATTTAAAACAAAAAATCACACACCACGGTCTGTGCTCTGGTCTGGAGCCGTGAGAAGATGGGGTCCCTTCCCGCACACGGCGCAGGGACACGGGACGGCAGGCAGGCAGCCTCAGGCGGAGAAAACCGTAAACGTGTAGTTTTCCTTTAAGAAAATCCTTTGAAACTGCAGAGCTGTCATTGTGTCACGTGCCAGGAGCTGTCACCAGGCGAGGTGACTGCAGGTTCCACTGTACTTAAATGGCTCTCATCTTTGCAGAGTTCCCTGGGCCAGGTGCCGCCAGGCCTATTTCGGGCGTGGGAAGAATAAGCAGTCTCTCGACGCCGTGGAAAAGGCCGCGTTCTTCGTGACGCTAGATGAGAGCGAACAGGGGTACCAGAAGGAAGACCCAGACACGTCGATGGACAGCTACGCCAAGTCCCTGCTGCACGGCAGGTGCTTTGACAGGTACGGCCCTGCTTCCTGAGAGAAGGTAGCTGGCCCGTGAGCTTGGAGGAGATACCCCGTGTGGCTGGCGCCCAGCCTCAGGTAGATCCTGCTAGGGAACGTGCTGGTATAAAAGCACCGCCTCTAACGTTCGCCCCTTGGCCAGGGCCGTCGCACACGCAGTGTGAGCAGCCATGGAGATTCTCAGAGACGTGGGCTGGGGGAGACGGCAGTGGCCGGGGCTGGGCGTGGGGTTAGACCTGGGTGTCGGCTGGTGACTATTAGGAAGCCGAGCCCCTCTGGGACCCCCGTTCTTTATCTGCAAAGTGGGAGCCTGCCTGCCCGTGGGTTAGGGGCACAGGTGGGCTGAGGAGGGGTCCGTGTGCCCGCAGGGAGAGGCTCGGCCCCTCTCCTGTGGCCTTGTAGCAGCATGCCCTGTTCGTACCTTCTTCTCTCTGGGGAGACCTGGGAGCACCTGCTTCACTGTTAGAGGCAGGTGCAGAGTAAACTCGCCCATCTGGGAGGAAACAGTTTTGCAGTTTTTGGTAATTTTTATTTTCTTTTGAAAAAAAATTTTTTTTTTTTTTGCGAGAGTCTCGCTTTGTTGCCCAGGCTAGAGTGAGTGCTGTGGCGTCTGCCTAGCTCACAGCAACCTCAGACTCCTGGGCTCAAGTGATCCTCCTGCCTCAGCCTCTCGAGTAGCTGGGACTACAGGCATGCGCCACCACGCCTGGCTAATTTTTTCTATATATATATTAATTGGCCAATTAATTTCTATTTTTAGTAGAGATGGGGTCTTGCTCTTGCTCAGGCTGGTTTCAAACTCCTGACCTTGAGCGATCTGCCCGCCTCGACCTCCCAGAGCGCTAGGATTACAGGCGAGATTTCTTTTGAAAATTGAAGTTCCATCAACACATTTGTTTCGCGTAGGTGGTTCGACAAGTCGTTCACGTTCATCGTCTTTAAGAACGGGAAGATGGGCATGAACGCGGAGCACTCCTGGGCGGACGCGCCCATCATCGGCCATCTCTGGGAGGTGGGTTTCTGCAGCTTGGACTCGGAGGACGTGGAAGCTGCTTCGGAAAATCCAGGCCCTAGACGGCATTTAGTTTTGTGACATGTCTGATCGTGTGATCTGAATTCTCAGCGCGTCCTGGCACTGCGTGGAGGGTGAAATCACTAAGCTAAAGGCATTCTTGTCTTCATTCCTATAACTCAGGCTCCTTCAGTAGCGGCACATCTATCTAATGCCGTCTCCTTAGGGGACCGAAGTAATGAAATGGCAGTTGGCTCTCACGCAGTGACTTCGGGGCAGATGTGAAGTTCAGGTTTATTCTGAGATAAACTGTCCCTTTTTTGCTGGATTTGCTGGTTTTCTCACCTACCACGTTTTAGGCCAAATAGAAGCAAGCATGTTAAAGTCTTCATTTATGAAAATGCAGCGTGCCTTTTACCTGAAACATCTTTTTTTTTTGAGACAGAGTCTCACTCCATTTTCCTGGCTTGGAGTGCAATGGCGTCATCATAGCTCACTGCCACCTCAAACTCCTGGGCTCACGAGATCCTCCTGCCTCAGCCTCCCGAGTAGCTGGGACCACAGGTGCACACCACACCTGGCTAATTGTTTTTATTTTTTGTAGAGACGGGGTCTTGCTATTGTCCAGGCTAGTCTCGAACTCCTGGCCTCAAGCAATCCTCCTGCCTCAGTCTCCCAAAATGCTGAGATTATGAGTGTGAGTTGCCGCACTACGCCCAGGCTTATTTTTTAAAGTATTCTGGTTAAGGTGAGGGTAAAGGAATTTATTTATTTATTTTTTTTTTTGAGACAGAGTCTTATTCTGTTGCCCCAGCTAGAGTGCCGTGGTAGCTCACAGCAACCTCAAACTCCTGGGCTCAAACAATCCTCCTGCCTCAGCCTCCCAAGTAGCTGGGACTACAGGCATGCACCACCGTGCCCAGCTAATTTTTTCCATGTATTTTTAGTTGGCCAATTAATTTCTTTCTATTTTTAGTAGAGACGGGGTCTCACTCTTGCTCAGGCTGGTTTTGAACTCCTGACCTCCAGCAATCCGCCCACCTCGGCCTCCCAGAGTGCTAGGATTACAGGTGTGAGCCACTGCGCCCGGCCAGGGATTTACTCTTGACCAGGGTGGCCGACTAGAAGTGGCGGCATTTCACTGTTCCTGCCCAGCTGACAGTGGCCTGTGACCCCAGGGACCGCCGGATGGGAGCCCAGGCGCTGCAGACGCTGATGGCCCCTCTAAAATGGGGATAAGGCCTACCTGGTTAGGGGCCGGGCAGAGCGTGAGGGGCTGAGCACACTGTAAGCGCACAAGTTAGCAGCATGGGTAAATCTTTGCACGTCTCTGTAAGGAGCAAGGGTCTGTCCACCCGCAGATGAAACACGCGTTCTGTCACTCCGTCAGTTATGATCGCGTCTGAGTTTGCTTGTGCCCTTTCTGTTTTGGCAGTACGTCATGGCCACGGACAGCTTTCAGCTGGGCTACGCGGAGGACGGGCACTGCAAAGGGGACACCAATCCGAGCATCCCGCACCCCACCAGGCTGCAGTGGGACATCCCCGAGGAAGTGAGTCTGGTCACCGAGGGAGGGAGACAAATTTAAACTCTTCCAGCCGAGTTTCCAGCTGTAATTCCTGAGTGTTCACAAGCTCAGTTGAAGACCACTAAGACCGAAAGTTGTGTCTCTTGATACTGTCATGGTGGGTGCCTGTCACTGCCCATTTGTCAAAACCCACGGAACGCACGCACGACACCAAGAGCGAACCCTCATGTAAGCCACAGACTTCGGGTGACAGTGACGAGTCAGTGCAGGTTTACCGGTCGTAACAGACGTGCTGCTCTGTGAGATACTGACAGTGGGGAGGCTGTGGGTGCGGGGACGGGGTGGGTGGGGACTCACCCCGGGCCGTGGGGCTGTCCGTCATAGCTCCTGATGCCTCGGAAGCCTCAGCAAATATTTCTTCTTCCATGGAAAAAGCTCTTGGCTGAGCTCGACAGTGCGGTTTCTGGCTCGAACTTAGCTAGAAATCTATAAAATGCTCACGGTGAAAAAGTAAAAAACAAAATCGCATCGCTTAGATTTTAGATACTCTAAATTGCTCATTTGTAATTTTCAAAAACTTCATTTTTGTTCTTTTTAAATATCCTCAGATTCAGCCCACTCAATAGGAGCACGTTCAGGAAGGAATTTGGGGCTTGAAAATACCAAATCCTAACTCATATAATCCAAGCAGGAATTTCTGGGGCCCAAGAAATAATTTTCTTTTCTTTTCCTTTCTTTTTTTCTGAAAAACAAGAATCTTACTCTGTTGCCTGGGCTAGAGTGCCATGGTGTCAGCCTAGCTCACAGCAACCTCACACTCCTGGGCTCAAGCGATCCTCCTGCCTCAGCCTCCCGAGTAGCTGGGACTACAGACACATGCCACCATGCCCGGCTAATTTTTCTATTTTAGTAGAGACGGGGTCTCGCTCTTGCTCAGGCTAGTCTCAAACTCCTGAGCTCAAGCAGTCCTCCCGCCTCGGTCACCCAGAGTGCTAGGATTACAGGTGTGTGAGCCACCATACCCAGTCCAAGAAATAATTTCCATGTAACGAAGTACCATGTGCCGTGCCGTAGACTTACCCCATGGCACCCACACGTCCTGCCGCCCGGGGCTGCCGTGTGTCCTGCGGGGAGCTGTAACCTCTGCAAAGTGCTTGGGCTCAGAGTCCTCGTAGCTGACCAAGTCACTTACCATTTATTAAAACAGCTTTTTAACAGACTTTATTTTTTTAGATCAGTTTTATGTTCACAGCCGAGTTGAGAGGACAGTGCGGAGAGTCCCCACCCACCCCGTCCCCACGCACAGCCTCCCCGCTGTCAGCGTCTCACAGAGCAACACATCTGTTACGACCGGTAAACCTGCACTGACTCGTCACTGTCACCCGAAGTCTGTGGCTTACGTGAGGGTTCGCTCTTGGTGTCGTGCGTGCGTTCCGTGGGTTTTGACAAATAAATGGGCAGTGACAGGCACCCACCATGACGGTATCATACAAAATAGTTCCACTGCCCTAAAAATCCTGTGTCCATAGTTTGTGACCTTTTCCAGAATGTCATATACAGTCGTCCCCCGTTACCTAAAGTTTCCCTTTCCGCAGTTTCAGTTACCGCTCAGTCCAAAATTACTAAATGGAAAATTCTAGAAATAAGCAATTCATACGTTTTCAACTATGCACCATTGTAAGTAGCGTGATGATCCCAGCACCGTCCTGCCGGGGCGTGAGTCATCCCTTTGTCCAGCGTGTCCGCGCCATAGATGCTGCCCGCCGGTTAGTCTGTTGGTGGCCATCTCAGTTATCAGACTGAGGAAGTCTAGCATGCGTAGGGTTTGGCACCACCCGGGGGGTCCAGGCATCCTCTGGGGGTCTTGGGATGTACCCCTCGGATAAGGAGGGACCAGTGTGGTTGGATCACACAGCATGTGGCCTTTTCAGTTGGCTGCTTTCACTTGGTGATAAGCATTTCAGTTTCCTCCATGTCTTTGCCTACTTGACAGCTCATTTTTTCTTAGGGCTAAATAATAACATTTCATTGTATAGTTGTCCATTTATTCTTTAAATTTTATTTTAAAAATTTAGCAGCAATGGGCTTCATAAAACAAAACCCATGACTATTCGAAATGCCCTTTGGGACTCCCTGGACGCCAGGACCCCCAGTCCCCAAGCACGTTCCCACCGCCCCTGGGAGCAGGGACGACGCCATGCTGAACTTACCGGGGCTTCCGGGTCACCTTTGCAGAAAGAACCAGAAAGAAAACGCGGTCCGTGTATTTCCAGGCGTCACCTTGGTGGCCGCACTGGAAACCGTCTTCCCCGGTGACGCTTCCCTGGGGGTCTGCGGCAGGACCTCTCCCCCTGCTAAGTGCATCCTCCTCCTCCTCTCTCTCAAGTGCCAGGAGATCATAGAGACCTCCCTGAACACCGCGAGCCTTCTGGCCAACGACGTGGACTTCCACTCCTTCCCGTTCGACAGCTTCGGCAAGGCGCTGATCAAGAGGTGCCGCACGAGCCCCGACGCGTTCGTGCAGCTCGCGCTCCAGCTGGCGCACTACAAGGTCAGCCCCGGCTCTGCGGTCCTGCGCACGCCCAGACCGCTCGCCCGGTGGGGAGGAGAGGGGAGGGGAGGGGACGCGGCTGCTGGTGACAGAAGCGCAGGCCCCCGGGTCTCCGTGGGCGTGGCAGTGTGGACTGCGTCCCCGTGCAGCAGGGGTGCGGCTCGCATGGTCCCCCTGGGGGGGGGAGGGGCAGGCTCCTGTCTACACAGGAGGGGGAGCGCCTGGGAGATGGACGCGGAGTGGGGTCGCATCGCTCTACAGAGGGGAGAGTTAAACCTTACAGTAAGCCCCGAATCCTAGAATTGGGTGACGCGGACGTACTCACGGCAGATTACTGACTGTCTCTGGCCATTGACGTCCCCTTCTGTAAAAGGGGAAGCCACCAGCTCCTTGGAGATGCCAGGGGCTGGACGCAGCCCCTGTACACGTGCGGAAGGACGGGGTACCTCCGTGTCCGCGCTCTGGGCACCCAGTCACGCTTGGCTTGCACTTGGCGGCCCTGTGGGAGAGCAGCCTGCGCCGGGGGAGGTTGCGAGTGGGACTTCCTGCCCGTCGGAGGGAGCCTGCACCCAGGGAGGGCCTTGGTTTCCGGGGCAGCAGGAGTCATCGTGGCATTGGCTGTTTTGAATGGGAAAGCTGTTTTCCGACTTGGATGCTGTGCGCGTTTGCAGCACGTGGCGTCCCCGCGGTGACAGCTGTGCTGCGGTTGAGCGTTGCTTGGGGCCGGCAGTGGTCTCGGTGCTGCACGTTCATCGCGCCTCCTGGTCTGTCCCCGGGAAGGCGCCCTTGTTAGCCCTGGTTGCAGGTGAGGAGACTGAGGTGCAGAGAGGTGCGGCCGCTCGGCAAGGCGACGTTAGACTCTCTGGCAGGGGTGGAGGCGGCCAGCGGCTCCTGAGTCCCCACCTGCAGGCCCCACGTCCTCTCCAGCTGAAGTTAAGAAAATAAACAAATGCAGAAAAATAAGAGACAGTGTTGACATCCGATAAACTAGAGCAAATGGGCTAAAATTGCACTTAAAATTGATGATATTGGTGATGATACGGTTCTTAATAAAGGTCACAACAATCACGAAGCTTTGTTTTCCCAAATGACACGCATGCTGCGATGCGAGAACCAGAGCGGCTTGCACAGGGTGGAGCACAGGAGACGTGGGGGACGGTAACTTAGCTCCGTGCCCTGTGACTACAAGATACAAGGAGCGGGGGTGTCGGGTCTTAGACCCAACACGCTGGGTTCTCAGAGTTGATAAGCAATCCTTGCCCATAAACATGCAGCGTGAGGACCGCACGAGGGGGTGTCCCTCAGCCACAGAGCGGATTTCAGTAAGAGAACACCACCTTTCATTTGACATTCGGTAACATTGTTTTCTGGGGCAGCCAAAGTAGTGAAACTAACTTAAGACAAAGCAGAAAACCTGAAAAGATCTGTGTCCATGGATGCAAGTGACAAGTTGTGGGAGAGCCACTCTGTGGCTTTGAAGAGACTGGAGGAAGGAAGGAACCTGCCCTGGTGATGTCCCCAAACCAGCGTCGCCCGGAATGGCGGTGGAGCACCAGCCACCGTGCCAGGGCTGGGCAGGAGCCAGGTGAACCTCACGGAAGAGCTGGGAAGGGGACTTCCTCTTCTCTGCTTTGTACCCAACGAGGGAAAGCGCTTGTCTGAGATCTGCAGCTCGTCAGCGGAAAGGCTGAGATTGGGACGAGGTCGGCTGGCCCCGGAACCCACGTCTGTTACCACTGCGCTACAGCCGACCCTGGCAGGCACAGAAAAGAGAGCATGGACCGATTTGACTAGGAATGCAAATGTAGAGACCCTAAGTAAAATGTCAGCGAGTAGAATCTACCAGTAAAAGAAAAGAATAATCACACCAAGAACAGCATATACCAGTGACGGGAGGATGGTTTAGTGTTAGTAAATTGAATGCGTGCTGTGGCGTTGTCATAGCTCATGGTAGCCTTGAACTCCTGGGCTCAAGCGATCCTCCTGCGATCCTCAGCCTCCCCAGTAGCTGGGACTACAGGCATGCGCCACCATGCCTGGCCACTTTTTCTTTGTTTGTAGTAGAAATGGGGGTCTTGCTCTTGCGCAGGCTGGTCTGGAACTCCTGAGCTCAAAGAATCCTCCCGCCTTAGCCTCCCAGAGTGCTAGGATTATAGGTGTGAGCCACCATGCCCCCAGTCCAAAACCTTCGTGATGAAGAATTACACTCAGTAAGGAGGCCCGGTGTGGAATCATACAACAACCAATATCTTTCTGGTGTAACGATGACAGCCAAGCAGAAAATATAATGGAATCGAGCAACACAAACCCAGGACCCCTGGGTACAGGTTTATAAAGCAGACGGGACTCTGTGAAGAAAGGCCAAGAAGCCCCCCCCCCAAGGAAAGGGAGAAAAGGCCGTGATTTTGGATAAAGATTCAGCACCGTGGAGGAGTGAACATTCCCAGTTCACACATTTATATGAGAGTGAACACGGTCAAAGGTCCCGCAGAGGTTTTAGGAGAGGGGCTTGAGCAGTGGATCTGGAAGCTTGTCTGGAAAGGCTGACACCCGAGAATAACCAGCAACATTCCAGAAAATAAAAGGAATTGGGTAGAGACAGGGACAGGAGCAGAGGGAGGTGGACACTTGCTCTTTCAAAGTCTGAAACGCAGAGCCTCGAGGTGAGAAGGTTGCAGCGATCCAAACGGTGTGGTCCCGGCACAAAGCAGGCCCGTGAAGGGCATGTGGTGGGGACGTGGGGTGAGGGTGAATTTGGTGAGTAAGTGGAGTTGGGAAGTCTGGCCAAGTGGTTCCCTTTGGAAAAGGGTAAACAGCTTAAAAGGAAAACAGAATCAGAGCAGAAATTGTGGTTCACTAGGGAAGAAAAATACAGATAAGTCAGTGACTGTACACAATAAGCTTAATCTCACCAGGAATGTAAAAAGTGCAACTTAAACAAGACAATTTTTGCCTATGGGATTTGCAACGTTTTTTTTTTATTATTATTATTCCATGCTGGCAAGGGTGGCTGAGAAGGGGACGCGTGGACTCACAGCTGGGAATTCAGTGCCAGACAGCCGGAAACCCGCGGCAGGAAAGAGTAACCGTCGACGGGGCAGATTCCGCTCTGAGAATTGTATCCATAAGAAGGGACGGCACACAAAAAATGTGTTTACGTGTGCACACTGTAAAAATCTGAAGCAATTCTAAAAGACGGTGTTTTGGGGGCTGGGTGTGGTGGCTCACGCCTGTAATCCTGGCACTCTAATCCCAGGCAGGAGGATCGCCTGTGGCCAGGAGTTCAGACTGTGGCCCAGAGGCCAAACCAGCTCCTCACCTCCACCCCTGCCCTTCCCAAAGCAAAGGCGCCTCTGCCTGCCGCGGGGCAACCAACCACGCGCGGAAGGGGCAGCTGGCGAAGCCGCCGCTCCTTGCTGGCCCCGCCCAGTACCCCTTACGCTTTAGACGTCGCCGCGCTCCTCCTTGCACTAAACTACTTCTCCCTTCCCAGGACATGGGCAAATTCTGCCTCACGTACGAGGCCTCCATGACCCGGCTGTTCCGAGAGGGGAGGACGGAAACCGTGCGCTCCTGCACTGCCGAGTCCTGCGACTTCGTGCTGGCCATGGTGGACCCGGCCCAGACGGTAATGTGCCATCGGGTCGAGGACGCCAAGCGCCTTCCCACTCTCACAGAGGGAGTCTGGAGGCTGACACGCCAGCCTCTCTGATCTCCGCTCCAGTGACGCCACGTGCAGCTGTTTCCTCCCGCTCCTCGCAAGGGCTCGGGCGGTATTAAAAGGGGACGGTAGGGACGTGCACAGAGATCCACGTTGCACGCTGTGCTTCTACAGATCGGATTCTGCTTCCTGAGAGACTGTCCAGGAGACGGGAACAGACGGGGGCAGGAATAGCAGGTAGATGCCACAGGACAGTGCAGGTGGCTGGTGTCAGGGTGAGAGGCTGTGACCGTTACACGGGGACCTCCCGCTTGGAGTTAACAAAGCCGTTGCCATGCTGGGCCTAGCAGTTCTCTGCATGCTGCCTTTTAAAACTGGCAGTAGCCCCATGCAGTGTTACCGGCTCATTTCCATAGATAAAGAAACAGAGGCCCAGATGGACGCAGCCAAGTGCCGGGCTGTGTGGCGAGGAAGTGGCTGAGGCGAGGTCTCTGCCCAGGTGCACCTGAGCCCAGCGCAGAGCTGCTCACTGACCGGGGAGGAGACGTGGACCGGGGCTTTCTTTTCTGCAGAAAACTTACATTCTTCTGGGAAGGCTCAAGTATATGGAAAGAAATCAGTTGGTGTCATGACAGGTGGCTCTAATCTGTCATTCGATGCCTTCAAAACCAAGAGCCTGGAAGTCTAGGTGCTATATGGGCTCTAATCTGTCATTCGATACCTTCAAAACAGCCTTGAAGTCCAGGTGCCATACGGGCAGGGTGCCCTGACCCCGGGATGTAGGTGACAGAGCCCAGAAGAGCCCGAAGCAAAGCAGCCTTTGGGGGTCAGATTTAAAGGCCTCACGAGTGCTGTTCTAGCAGAGCTGCTGGAGGGTTGTTTGTGGCCCACAGTGACGTGGCGGTGAACGGAGGGGGACAGAACTTAAGTTCCAGACAGACAGAGCTGGCAGCCTCAGCTTCCCTGCCTGCTTGGCGATCTCGATTGTGCAAAACGTGCAGTGACGCCAGGCGGGCGGGTTGCACAGAGGACCCCGAAAGTGATTCCCGATGTGGCTGCAGCCTTGGAGCTCCCCTTGTGGGGCGTGGCTCTGCGGAGGCATTCGGTGGCTGGTGCTTCTGGTAGCACCCCCGGGTGGGGGAGTTCCCCATTGCCTTTGAGTCTGAAACTGGGGTCCGAACCGCACGGCCCGCCGGGCAACGCTTGTCCTTCCCACCCTCTGCCGTGCAGGCGGAGCAGCGGCTCAGGCTGTTCAAGATCGCGTCCGAGAAGCACCAGCTCATGTACCGCCTCGCCATGACTGGCGCGGGCATCGACCGGCACCTCTTCTGCCTCTACGTCGTCTCCAAATACCTCGGTATGGACTCCCCTTTCCTTAAGGAGGTAAGCCACCTCTTCCCTGGCGGCGCTCTCCGCCGCGCTGGCTGGACCACAGCTCAGCCCGCCGAGATAGGTCCATAGGTCCGCTTTGCAGAGCAGAACGGGCGCCATGCAAACGGGTCTGTGGGCGTCCCGGGACAGAACGTTTGAGCTGCGGTTTTAGTTCTACGTTTCTTCCTTAATGCTGTCAGATTCAGCCTCCTGACTTCATAGACATAAGTGACCTCAAGAGCTTAGATGATTAAAGTCATTAGGAAGTGATGAGCTCTGAGTGCTCATTACCTTTGTTTGGAATATAGTTTATTTTACTGTAAGTTTATAAAATTTAATTTCTCTTTCTGAGATGAGGGGGTCTCACTATGTTGTCCAGGCTGGTCTCAAACTCCTGGCCTCAAGCAGTCCTCCCAAGTCGCTGGGGTTACAGGTGCATGCCACTGTGCCTGGCTAAAATTTAAGTTTCAATAGCAGCTGCATTTAACAGCCAGCTTGAAAAAAAACCCTGCAAGTTCAGCAGTTGGCTCAGAGACATGGTGCAAGTCGGGCACCGCTGCCTCCGTGCTGCGCCACTTGGCGTATCTGTGCCTGCTCGAGTATCTGCGCCGCTGTCACAGGTATCGGCTCCCGGTCTAGGAGCCCTCGCCCACTCTGCGTCCTCCCTGCAGAGGTACGAGCCGGCGAGGACTCCGTAGGACACCGAGGACACTGTAGACCGCTGGTGTCTGCAGCAAACCCTTTCTTCTCTTCCCCAGGGACGGACAAAAATAGGATCAGGAAAAGCGGTGTTTGGACTTTTTCTTCTTTCGCTCAACAGGTTTTATCTGAGCCTTGGAGATTATCGACAAGCCAGACCCCACAGCAGCAGGTGGAGCTGTTTGACCTGGACCGGAACCCGGAGTACGTGTCCAGCGGAGGGGGCTTCGGACCGGTGAGTGCTGTGTGCGGAGGCGCGTGGCGGGCCGGGTCTGGAGTGTTGGAAAGTCCCATTTGCACACCGGGTGTCAACCTCCCGGCGATGCACTGAGACCGCTGTGTCCCCCAGGTCGCCGATGATGGCTACGGTGTGTCCTACATCCTCGTAGGGGACAACCTCATCAACTTCCATGTCTCTTCCAAGTTCTCTTGCCCCGAGACAGTAAGTATGAAAACAAGTTCCTTTTCTTAGGTGAGAGGGGTATTTTTTTTTTTTTTTTGAGACAGAGTCTCACTGTGTTGCCTGGGCTAGAGTGCCGTGGCGTCAGCCTAGCTCACAGCAACCTCAGACTCCTGGGCTCAGGTGATCCTCCTGCCTCAGCCTCCCGAGTGGCTGGGACTACAGGTATGCGCCACCATGCCTGGCTAATTTTTTCTGTATATTTTTAGTTGGCCAATTAATTTCTTTCTATTTTTAGTAGAGATGGGGTCTCCCCTTGCTCAAGCTGGTCTCAAAATCCTGAGCTCAGTCTTCCCGCCTCGGCCTCCCAGAGTGCCAGGATTACAGGCGCGAGCCACCCCGCCCGGCCTAAAGAAATACATCTTATTTGGTGTAACACGTTTGCCTTTGTGGGCAGCAGTGGTTTTGAAGCTTAGTGTTAAAGGTGTTTCTATAACTTTATTTAACACTTGGAAGATGGACAAAGAATAGTGTGCACACGCTAAGAAATAAACATTCACGGTGGAGCTGGGGCCCCATGCCCTCCTCTCGGCGGGAACACATGACCTCCGTGCTGGCGTGGTTTACTCCTTCTGATTTATATTCTCCTTTCCACGTTGTACATAACCGGACAAGCAATGCCGAGCCCACTGCTAACAGAAAGTTGGCATTCATTTGCTCACTGTGTTTTATGTAATCCATTGACCTTAGGGACACCCTCAGGTCAAAAACACGCCCACACGGACACATCACCTGTCATCTCAGGGCCTCTCAGCATTTCTCCAGATTGGGTACGTTCATCGTTAAGCCATGAGGTCAAATCTTAGAGAACTGGCAGAAAGAAGTCTGAAATAAGCTTTGAGCTGGGTTACAAATGAGAAGGCTGGAAACAGGGATATCGCCACGTTTTAATGTGTTTTTTGTTTTTCAATTAAAGGATTCTCACCGTTTTGGGAAGCATGTGAAACAAGCGATGAATGACATCGTCACTTTGTTCACGCTCAAGCCCAACATGAAAAAATAATTCCCTTAGAGGTGCTGGCAAGGAAACTGAACTCTTCTGACGCAAACCAAATGAAAAATAGGTATTCATCCCGGTAGTGGTTCCGGGATGAAAAATTGCTCTTAAAAAACTCAGAAGTTTTCATTCCAGAAGAAGGTGGTGTCTTTGTTCTCCAAGATCAGTCAGCGAACAGCATAGTCCCATCATGTGAAGCGTAACCCTACCACTTCCAGGCTTGTCCTCACTTCGGGGACATTTGCTAAAGTCCCTCTGAAGTCTTTGCATCAGCTTGTATTTATTAAGGGGTTAACATAATGAACCAGTTAAGGAATTAGTAGGGTTGTGACTTCACACACATTGGAAATGGAAGTGGCACCTCAGTGGTGACCAAATACCTGGCACTTAAGGGCATTCAGTGTCATCAGAGCAGTATCCACATTGTTTTGTTAAAAGAAGAAAGCGTTGCTCAAGTTTTCGGTGTCCGCAGTTGTAGCTAACACACTTGTAATGCACTAACTGAAAATGCTGTGCTTTTGGAAACAGGTTTCTGTCCCCGTGGGTAACGCTGTCACCATCAGGTCTGGTAGTCTGTCTGGACTTGCCTCTCCTTGTCTAGAGCGAGCAGGATGCCACGTCTTTAGTTTTACTGACCTTGCATGTCTTCAGAACCCAGTGCCTTAAACGTGGCGGGCCCTACATAAATGCAAGGGAGACCAGTGAAAGATTCATGCTGTGGAGTCTTTGGGTGGAATGTGGGTGTACTGTTCCCTTCTCAACTTACTGAATGGGTGGCCCTTAAACAAGCACCGGCCACCGTCCCCTCCCTCCCCCGGCTAGGCAGGGCCCCTGGAGGGCAGCTGTGCAGGACTCTTCTCATTGCACTGCCTTCTTGTCATCGTTAAGCAACAAAAGAAAGAACAAGCGTGTTTCCGAAGAGGGGAGCGAGGGGTAGGATGGTTCGACGTTCACGTGTCTGGAGAATTCACCCAAGAATACCACGCAATACGTGCCTCGGGGTTACTGCTCGGCCCAGCTGGCAGGAAGCGGAGCGGTTCTTGGGGAGGGGAAGGGCAGCCCCGCCTCGGCCAGGAGGGCTCAGCTCCCCGACACCGACACCGGCGGTGAGAGAGAAGACCCCCCTCCCCGTCTCCAGAGGAGCTGGAGGGAGATGGGAACAGTGTGCCGGGTCGCCCTGGTGACCAGTGTCGCCAGTGACGGCGCTCGGTTGACAACCTATACTGAAGATAGGAGTGCCTTTGCCGAAAGCGTCCGGTTGACCACAAGGCAGTCCGCGCTGAGTCGCCGTCAGTATTTCATGTGAGAGTGGAGCGTCACCGAATGAGATTCCCACTGCCTCCGGCCGTCCCGGCGAGCTTAGCTGCTGTTTGAATCATGTGTTTATTTTCCGACCACTTCGTTCCATGCCTGGGCCTGCCTCCTCCAGAGTCCTGCGCCGCTGCGATCTACAAAGTCGAGGGCTGACCTGCTGGATAGATGGAACACGCTTGCTGAAGGGCACGTGTGTGTTTTCTGTGTGTATATTTTGTAACGTAAACGATTCCATTTCAATGGGCCAAAGATTTTTGTTTTCTCTTAAAAGCAAGAAGAAATGAAAACAAAAGACAAACAAACAAACAAAAAAAAGCAAAAAAAAAACCCAATAGTAACAAAACGCCCGATCATCTGTGGTATGCAACCCACACGGGTTTGGGGGGAAATAGCCCCTCTGCCCAAGGCAAGGGCAGCTTCCAGTCACAAGCCGACAGCGGCGGCAGTCTCTGTCAGAGCCACCGGGACCACGCGCTGTCGACCAGCGAGCAGTCTGTGTTAGCGTGGTGTTCACGCAGGAATTCACTGTAGACGTGTTAGCGCTTCAGCATGTATGGGTTTATCTCTCAGGTTTTAAATGTTTCAAGTGTAGTTGTTGCTAATCAGTGCAGTTATCAATGCAATTTTATATTCCTTAAAAGGAGGAAGAGTGAGTTTTTATTGTACATGTTGAAAGGGGGAGGTAAGAGTATTATGTATTTAATTTAATGTGGAACAAACCATGGTCTTACCACAGCCATGGTTTGACTTTGTTATCTTGGACTGTCCATTGCATGTAAATACAATATGCTCTTTGGATGTAAATCTTAGAAACGCACAGTATGAATGTAGGTTATCATTTAATAAAACATTAATCCCAGTCTACTACAGTATTTGCTTCTGTCTCTTTTGTTACATTAATAAAGGGGATTATACATCAGGAACCAAGCTCGGGCACTTGGGACAAAAGTGAGAGAGATGCAAAAAAAAGGCCTTGGGGCAGGTAGTAGAGTGGGTGTCATGAGGTCCCTGCACTGGACTGGCAAGAAAAGCTGAGTAGCCCCAGTGCCCAGAACAGTGCCTGACACATAGTAGGTACTTAGCAAACATCTGTTAAATAATTGTATAAATTCCATTTTTTCAGCTTTTTTTGTATAAATTTATTAAATTTACTAATTCTTTTTTCATTTTAACTTTCTTCCACACAAGACAGGGAGATCAGCTGATTTCTTAAGCCCTAGTTCTAGGCACTGGGAATACAGCAGTGACCCCACCGGGTTCTGGCTCGGGGAGCTTGAGGAAGGAGAGAACCAAGCTGACCCATTGCAAGATCTTAGGTGTTCCAAGGCAAATCAGAGGACCATTGGGAAGGGGGTGGTAGCTGGCGCGAGAGGGAGGCTGGTTTAGAATGGGTTTGAGCTGAGACCTGAATGACCACACACAGCTAATATCCAGCAGGTATTAATGCAAAGCTTCCAGGCTTGATTCTGATGAGCGAGGTGGCTCACCCATTTGGCCGTGCACACCTGTCATGATGCTATTCCATAAAGGTCACTAAAATCCTTGCAGATTGACTCAAGCTCTACATGATTTTTTACTTGGAATCATCAATGTATTAGCTGCTTCCTAGATCCCTGTAATTTGGTCAGACCAAGATGGGTTCGCAGTCCTGCTCCTGAACTCCACTGAGTTTAATGTGATGTGGTTATTCCAGCCACAAAATGGGAGTAAGATCTTCTGTTACACATGGACTCTGGCACCCGGAGAGCGGGCTGAAGTGTTACACAGCACACTTAAGTGTGAGGCTCCAGCTTCACCTGTAATAGTTAGGTGTTTTAGTAGGAGAGCCTGTGCAATCCTATCTTCGCCCTGACGGGGCCAGTACACCTTGCGCTCTGGAATCCTGCCCCGCAGATGCGGACGCGGCACAGGCACGTAGGAAGCGGTGCTGCTCCGTTCTGCTTGTGACGGTGAAGACGTGAACTTCAAGGTGTGTTTGTAATTAGCTAGTTGCCTGGAATATATTTCAGGCCGTTCATATGGCAGGGACATCTCAACAGTCAGTTTGATTACATTACATTCTTTTTTTTTTTTTTTTTTTTTGGAGACAGAGTCTCTGTTGCCTGGGCTAGAGTGCCGTGGCGTCAGCCTAGCTCACAGCAACCTCAAACTCCTGGGCTTAAGCAATCCTCCTGCCTCAGCCTCCAGAGTAGCTGGGACTACAGGCATGCGCCACCATGCCCGGATAATTTTTTCCATATATTAGTTGGCCAATTAATATATTTCTATTTTATAGTAGAGACGGGTCTCGCTCTTGCTCAGGCTGGTTTCGAACTCCTGACCTTCAGCAATCGCCAGCCTCGGCTCCCGGAGTGCTAGGATTACAGCGTGAGCCACCGCGCCGGCCTGTTACTTCTTTTTGACCAAGTCCCCCTCAGCCCCACACACCTGTCGGCTACGCGTTCAAACTCTGGCACCAGTTGGAAGTGCCTACAAGGTTGGAATGCACACGTGCAAGCCCTTGTCCCTGGCTCTGTCTTGAGAGCAGAAAACTATTTTAAAGATACACGGCCTGTCATCCTAGCACTCTGGAGGCCGAGGCGAAGGATCGCTTGTAGCCAGGTTCGAGGCCAGCCTGAGCAAGAGCCGAGACCCGCTCCAGAGAAAACAAGACCAGGCGTGGCGCGGGCCGGGGAGGCGGGGGGCCGGTGCGGGCGGGCGCGCTGCGCGTCGTCCAGTCCTGCGGGGGCTGAGGCGGGAGGATCCCTTAGAGCCCCGGGAGTTCGAGGCCTGAGTGAGCTGTGACGACGCCAATGCACTCTAGCCGGGGCGCAGAAGCGAAGACCCGTCTGCAGAACAAAAGACTAGGAGGCCCACCTTAGCACCGCCCCAGACCGTTGGGGCCTCAGTTTCCCCACCTGTGCGCTGAAGCATCCTGGACCCGGAACGGAGCGCCCGCGCCGCCCTCCCACAGTGGCCGGACTCGAGTTCGTCCCGCGCGAAGCGTGGCCCGCCCCAGCGCCCTGGCCCGCCCAGCGCCCTGGCCCGCCCGCGCCGCCCCCGCCCCAACCGTTAACGTCGCCGCACGCAGCCCCGCTTTCGCCGCGGCAGCGAGCGGCCCTAGGTGCGTACGCGACCTCTGAGGCCGCCTGACGAGGCGCCCGGCCGGGTCTCCCGGCCAGCCCCCGCCGGGCCTCGGGTTGCGGGCGGGAGGAAGGCGGGCCCGGCCAGTCGCGGGCGGCGGGCGCGGCCGGCGGGGCGCCTTCCTCACCCTGCCCGCCCTGCAGGTGCGCGGCCCGCCGATCCGCGCTGCGCAGGGCGCGGCGTGCGGCCGGGACCATGGAGGAGGCCTCTGCCTCGGGGCCGGGATGCCCGGCGCCCGGAGGACGAGATGTGACGGATGCTTTTTCAGCCCCGACAGCCCTTCGCGCCCGAAGCCTGGCGCTGAAGCCGCCGGCGCGGTGAAGGCACAGAGGACGATTCCACGGTGCTGAAGGACGCGTACCTGACCGGCCGAGCCGCGGGAGCCGCTGCTGCGCGGTTCACCCCCGCGCTGGGCGGCGACTTGCAAGGGCAAGGGTCAAGGGGAGCTGCTGCGCGGACGCCGACGACGAGACCGCTGCTTCCGGCGAGTACCCGGGCTGCCCGAGCTCAACCCGCCTGGACGACGCGCGCTGCCGCCGCGCCGCCGCGCTACAACGTCCACCGTTGTCCTGCCTGCTGCTGCCGCCGCCGGCCCGGCCGTCGTGCCCCTGGCGCCTGGGCCAGGAGGGAGCCGCCCACCCGCGCGTCCGCGTGATTCAGTAAGAGCGCTCGGAAGTAGGCACAGGCCCCCGGCGCCCCTTTCGGAGACCTGGGACGCCGCCGCGCTCTCCGACTCTCCCAAGATTTCCCCCTGCGAGCGTGTCCCCTTCGCCCTCCTCCTCCTCCGCCCCCCCCCCCCCCCCCCCCCGGGCCAAGCCCTTCCACCTGCAGGGGAGTGGGCCCCCGCGCTGGTGGTGCACACCTGGCCTGACCGTGCAGACAGCATCCAGCAAAGGACGGGGGGGAAAGTCAGAGAGTTGGTCGCCTCCGGCTCTGTTGCTGCCCTGGGCTTTGGCAAAGAAGCCCTACACAATGTTAAGAGTAGCTAGTGTCAGTGAGAACAAGTGCAGTGCGATTGAGAGTTGGTCTGTGTGCATCTTGCGGCTTTTCCTTTCCGTTTATCAGGCTGGTGATTCATAGCAAGGACTCAGAGTTAATGCTTGTGTTTGCTGAACCCTGAAACCAAGATGTTAGTTAGATCTTCCCTTTGCTAACTAGTGATTGTTCTTCAAGCATATGTTATATAAATCAGAGGCTAAATAAATTCTTGCTGACTCTCAGCTAACGGCCCTCTTTAGCTATGTATAACCACTGGTAATTTCTACCGTGTTCTTGCTGAAACTAAACGGTTTTCAGAGGAAACAAAGGATCCCAAGAAAATATGTGCTGTACTCCCAAAAAGGATCCAGTTTGGGAAACTAGATTACTCATCCATTAAATCACTTTAGTAAGTGGGTTAAGCCTTTGTGGAACCTTTTTGAGTCAGCATTGAGATGGGGGAGCCTGACTTCATATAAGCCACTCCAGCAGGCGCTTGGATTCCTGCTTTTCTTGTGTCATAACCATGCTCCTTAGTGTAAAGGAACATGTGGGGCAGGGCTGGGCCTCCACCCACCTCTCAGTTTCCCCTTAGCTCAGGAGCAGTACAGGGCATCTGGTCCCTGCAGCCTTCTCCCTGCAGAGGTCTTCCTCAGTACCTTTTTCGGGTGGCTTGGGATGTTAGGGACTCCACTTTGCTACCAAGCCCAACATGTTAGTGAACATTAATCAGAACAGGGAAGGGAATTAGCTAATGTTAAAGGCAGTAAAATTCTCTTAATGTAACCCAGTTTTAACAGATTGGTGGTTTGACAAAAGAGAAGGTTGGCTTTGTGAATTTTTATGGACTATTTTCTGATTAATAACATGAGAAAGTCGCAGTATGGACATGTTCACCATTTAAACAGAATGGTTAATATCAAGGGTAATTGCTAATTTCCTTTTTCTGGAAATTCGTTCCCCCACATTGACTTTCATTTAAATGCATTCTGTAAAAATGGAATTTTACTGTAGTGCGTAAGTAGTTCAAATATTTAAAATTTTCTATATAACTATAAAATTTAAAATATCTAAATAAAGCTATAACTTGATATATAGCTACACTTTATCTCTTTTAAAATTTATACCTAGATGCTAGTGTGCTGTGCTAAGTAATTTGTCCATACATGGTAATTATTATTTGAGCCTCTCTGATTTTATTAGGTTAGACAATCGCCAACTTTGAGTCAATACCTACATTTTGAAAGATAGTTACCTGCTCTGTGATTTTATGTGAGCTCTTAAGAATGTTACCTTAGAATCACCATCTTTTTTAAAGGTAGGACTTTATGGCCTGCCCCTTGGCCTCTGCGGAGACTCACCTGTACTCTCCCAGGCAGCCTGGGAAGGTGGGGGGGAGGAGGACGAGAGGAGGACGGGAGGAATGATGCAAAGTGTGGGTTGTTCCCCAATCTTCCTTACGTTCTTATCAAATTTTAAAAAGAAGTGTCCTAATTTTGAAACACTCAATTCTGATAGTAATTTTTTTAAACTATCAGAATTTTTTAGTTTTTTAAATTCCATTGATGTTCAGTAGTATCGTATTTCTCCATATTTTTGGTAATTTTGCTAGTATGTCATTGGGTTAACAGTTTTTGCAGAAGATAGCTCAAAAACAAAACTGGCAGTTACTCCCTACTCTCACTGTTTCTTGTTGTCTTACTATTAAGTCAGGAAAGGGCTACTACTTAATTATAAATATTACTATAAATACATTATAAATGATAAATCACATTATATACACATTACTAAAACATCACCGAGAATTTTGAACTTCTTTTTTTTTTTTTTTAATTTTGAACTTCTTAAGGAAAAAACAAAACAATTAACTTGAACATTTACTATAAGCTAATGAATATCCTTGAAGAATGTGTGAAGGGGCAGCATTTCAGGTGACGTTGCAGGTTATTAGCTTAGGGGGCTGTGAAGCAGCAAGAGAGGCACGCTGCCAACTGGGGCTCTTCTCAGTTGCTTAGACCACATTTTTGAAACAGCACAAACACTGCATCAAACTCACATCTCCACACCTCATGGACAAATGGTTTGGTCCGCAGAGTCTTCCTCAGTCCCCAGGGGAGCTGGTCAGATGATTTGTCGCCCCAAAGGGAGAATATAGTTTTAGAAGCACCAGTGAGGAAAAAGAGGCATTAAGGATGAGGGTGCTCTTTCCTTTAAAATGTAACTTTTACACAGAACTCAGATTTAAATTTTGTGTATTATGCAACTGCAAGAGCCAATGTCTACCATGTGTGCCCTAAAATTATGATTGCTTTTTTTAGGTTGAAATAAAGGAAACAGGTGGTACTATTACAAGTAACAATCCGGAGGAAGCAACTCTTCAGAATGCTCTTGCTCAGGAGTCCTGTTGCAAGTTCCCATCATCTCAAGAACCAGAGGACGCCTCTGGTTGTTCTTATAAGAAAGACTTGAACCCAATGGTAATTATGCCAAAGAAAATGTGTATGATTAACATTAAATGTTGCACCTCTGTCATTACCAAGTCAATAGATTATTTCGGTCATTGTTTTTCATTGTTTACTTGTTGAAATCAGCATTTTTGGTTGTCTCATCTATCAAAAAAAAAGACATCAACTAGAGTCTTTCACATTTCACATCTAAGATTCTCATTTCTATCAGTCTTAGCAAACCGAACAAAGATTAGAGCATTGCTGTATTTGTTAAGTAAAGTAAGCACAAGTCCCATCAGTCAGTGCAGAGCTGGGGCCAGACCTGTGGTTTGGTGTATGAGCTCATCACAAGTTTTGGCTTAGTTGTGGCATGTATTAGTACTTGCCTCTCTGTCTGTGGTCCTTGTTGGGGCCACGGATTCTGAGAGGAGAGCTTTTATAGATCCCCCAAAGCAGGTCAGTAGGATTGCAAGTCTCTGGTTCCCCTAGGCTGCAGAGTGATGTTCACCTACTCTCCAGAAGGCAGGGCAGAGGCCCCTATGTGGGTGGGGCCCAGCAGTGTGCCACAGATAGAGATTCGGAGAGTCCACTCTGAGCCTCTCCCCCAGTTCTGGGTGTATGTGTGGCTGTAACTTTATCCATCACATTCAAATACAATTCCAGCTGAACACCAATACTAGCTTCTTATCACATGTCAGGGTGATGTGACGGTTTTGTTTGTTTGTTTTGAGACAGAGTCTCACTTTGTTGCCCAGGCTAGACTGAATGCTGTGGTGTCAGCCTAGCTCAGCAAACTCAATCTCCTGGACTCAAGCAATCCTCCTGCCTCAGGCTCCCAAGTAGCTGGGACTACAGGCATGTGCCACCATGCCCGGCTAATTTTTTTTTCTATATATATTAGTTGTCCAATTAATTTCTTTTTTTTTTTTTTTTTTTTTTTGGAGACAGAGTCTCTGTTGCCTGGGCTAGAGTGCCGTGGCGTCAGCCTAGCTCACAGCAACCTCAAACTCCTGGGCTTAAGCAATCCTCCTGCCTCAGCCTCCAGAGTAGCTGGGACTACAGGCATGCGCCACCATGCCCGGATAATTTTTTCCATATATTAGTTGGCCAATTAATATATTTCTATTTATAGTAGAGACGGGGTCTCGCTCTTGCTCAGGCTGGTTTCGAACTCCTGACCTTCAGCAATCCGCCAGCCTCGGCCTCCCGGAGTGCTAGGATTACAGGCGTGAGCCACCACGCCCGGCCTGTTACTTCTTTTTTGACCAAGTCCCCTCAGCCCCACACACCTGTGGGCTACACGTTCAAGCTCTGGCACCCAGGTTGGGAAGTGCCTACAAGGTTGGGAATGCACACGTGCAAGCCCTTGTCCCTGGCTCTGTCTTGAGAGCAGAAAAACTATTTTAAGGATTACAGGCCTGTCATCCTAGCACTCTCGGAGGCCGAGGCGGAAGGATCGCTTGAGGCCAGGAGTTCGAGGCCAGCCTGAGCAACAGCGAGACCCCCGTCTCCAGTAAAACAGAAGAACCAGGCAGGCGTGGTGGCGCGGGCCTGCGGTCCCAGCTCCTCGGGAGGCTGAGGCGGGAGGATCCCTTGAGCCCGGGAGTTCGAGGCTGCAGTGAGCTGTGACGACGCCACTGCACTCTAGCCGGGGCGGCAGAGCGAGACCCCGGTCTCAAGAACAAAAGACTAGGGAGTCCCACCTAGCACCGCCCCAGACTCGTTGGGGGCCTCAGTTTCCCCACCTGTGCCTGGAGCAGCTGATCCCGGAATGGAGCGCCCGCCCCGCCCCCCACAGTGGCCGGACTTCGGGTTCCGTCCCGCGCGAAGCGTGGCCCCGCCCCCAGCGCCCTGGCCCCGCCCCCAGCGCCCTGGCCCCGCCCCCGCCCCAACCGTTAACGGTCGCCCGCACACAAGCCCCGCTTTCCGCCCGCGGCAGCCGAGCGGCCTAGGTGCGTACGGACCTCTGAGGCGGCCTGACGAGGCGCCCCGCCGGGTCTCCCCGCAGCCCCCGGCCGGGCCTCGGGTTGCGGGCGGGGAGGGGAAGGCGGGCCCAGCCAGCTCGCGGGGCGGCGGGGCGGCGGGGCGGCGGGGCGCCTCCTCACCTGGCCCGCCCTGCAGGTGCGCGGCCCGGCCGATCCCGCTGCGCAGCGCGCGGGCGATGCGGCCGCGGCCATGGAGGAGGCCCCTCTGCTCGGCGGGATGCCCGGCCCCGAGGACGAGATGGTGACGGAGCTCTTCAGCCCCGACAGCCCGTTCGCGCCCGAAGGCCTGGCGCTGAAGCCGCCGGCGGCGGTGAAGCAGGAGGAGGACGAGTTCCACGTGCTGAAGGACGCGTACCTGAGCGCGGCCGAGCCGCGGGAGCCGCTGCTGCGCGCGTTCAGCCCCGCGCTGGGCGCGGACTGCAAGGGCAAGGTCAAGGTGGAGCTGCTGGCGGACGCGGACGACGAGGAGCCGCTGCTCGGCGAGTACCCCGGGCTGCCCGAGCTCAACCCGCTGGACGACGCCGCGCTGCCCGCCGCGCCCGCCTACAACGTCCACTTCCTGTCCTCGCTGCTGCCGCCCCGCGGCCCCGCCGTCGTGCCCCTGGGCGCCTGGGCCAGGGAAGGAGCCGCCCACCCCGGCGTCCGCGTGATTCCAGTAAGAGCGCCCGGGAAGTAGGCCCAGGCCCCCGGCGCCCCTTTGCCGGAGACCTGGGACCCGCCGCGCTCTCCCAAGATTTCCCCCTGCGAGCGTGTCCCCTGGGCCAGCAGCAGCCCCGGTGACACAGCACACACACCCCCGGGCCAAGCCCTTCCACCTGCAGGGGAGTGGGCCCCGGTGACACAGTACCCCCCCCCCCCCCCCTGACCGTGCAGACAGCATCCAGCAAAGGACGGGGGGTGGACGACGTAATATATATAGAAAAAAATTAGCCGGGCATGGTGGCACATGCCTGTAGTCCCAGCTACTTGGGAGGCTGAGGCAGAAGGATTGCTTGAGTCCCCAGGGATTTGTTTGCTGAGCTAGGCTGACGCGCATGGCATTCAGTCTAGCCTAGCACAAAGTGAGACTTGTGGTCAAAACAACAAACGCCCACAAACCAAAACCGTCACAGGGCACCCTGACATGTGAGTAAGAAAGTAGTAATGTGTTCAGCTGAATTGTATCCTGGATGAGCGATAAAGTTACAGGCCACACATTACACCCGACTGGGAGAGGCTCAGAGTGACTCTCGAATTCTCTAGAGGTCTGTGGCAGCACTGCTGGGGCCCAGCCGACATAGGCCGTCTGCCGTGCCTGTCTGCGAGAGTAGGTGAACATTCACTCTGCAGCTAGGGGAGCTGCAGGAGAGGGGGGCTTGGCGAGGCCTGAGGTTGAGCCTGCTTTGGGGTGTTGTTTTTGTATTTTGTAGTTGTCGTTCTTCCTCTCAGATATCCGGTGGCCCGCAACAAAGGGACCACGACAAAGAGGCTATGTATTGTGATGTTGTGTGTGTTATGTATTGTTATTATGTGGTATGTTGATATTTGCTAAGCCAGCGAGGGACTCGGATGATGAGCTCGAGAGTACACCATTATCAGCAGTGTTTGCCGCCCAGCTCTGCATTTTTGTTGTGTGTTGTGTGATGGACTTGGTGTGTGCGTGTTGGTGGGTGGTGTGTTGATACTGGGTGGTTTATTTGTTTGTGTTGGTTGTTTTCTTTGTTTTGTTGGTCCGTAGGTGTTTGTTGTTTGTTGGGTTTCTAATCGGGTTGTTCGGTGTTGCTCAAGACCTCGGATAGAAAGGGAGCAATCTTATGATGTGAAATGTGAAGAGACGCTAGGGTGATGTGCGTTTTTTTTGTGTATGTGTGTTCTTTATTATACATGTTTCGCGATTATCTTGAGGTTTTACAATGAGAAAACAATGAGGGGCGCGTGAGAGGGAGTGGACATCTGATTGTACGGTGTTTTGTTGTTGTAAATGAGCGGAGTTATGTTTTTTGTGTTTAATCAACACATTTTTTGTCTTGCATAAGTGTTTACCAGTTGGGTTCGCAAGCGTCTGTCTTATACCACACTCTCGTGTTTTCTC